CCCCCCCAGGACCCCCCTAGCTACGCCCATGTTCAAAATATGTGTAGGGTTTCCCAGGATTTCACCGATCAACTTCAGGAGTGAGTTCTACCCATAGAGAAAAAAAGAAGGAGTTCGCATTCCCGGCATGTTGGACTTTTTTTGATGACGCAGCTCAGTACGGCGACTTTTACATCGATTTTCTTGGAAATGGTGTATTTCATGGAAGAAATGCATTCTACGTAAATCTTTTGAAATTATATCATGAGTTGATTTAAGCCAAAAATTGGACGTTGTGGACGTTTTTCATACTTTGAATTCCGGATTTTGCTGACCAGGCTGTACCGACCTACGTCACGGGGTACACAATCCTCAAGATGCAACCATGGCCGGATTAAGGGGATGGCCACATGGACTGCGGCCTATGGCGGCAAAATGTAGGGGGCGGCAAATTTTGCAATCTTCTTGAATGTAGGTATCAAAGAAAAAGAAGAAAAATCGGATTCAGAAAATAAATTACAAACGAGAAATTGCGACAAAATCTCTCATTTCCTGAGAGTAAAAGTATTTTAAACATCTAATGTTGTCGTCTTTCGGTGATACAAGAGACAGCACTTTTAATTAGCCGAGTTAAGGGAGAAACCAAACACGCAATTTGACCTTGAGCGGAGCGGCATAGAGAGCAATGATGACGAGGACTGAAATGAAAAGGAGAAGCCTTCGCTCGGCGCGGCGGTCGGCATGAAACGCATAGCGCCTACAAGACTGCATGAATACTTCACGCATCGCGCCAAACACAGAGCGGTCGGCGCAGCGGCAGAAGTTAAACTTATTAAACCGCATTTATGTTTGTTCTTTCATAATGTTTTCGTTCGTTTGTTATGAATGGAAGGCCTTGTCCAAACAGGGATGGGTTTACGGAACTTAACTTTCGCGTAAAGTTCCGTAAACTTTCGTTAGTGTTGACAGGGCTTTAATAAAAAATGTGCCCAACGCGTCTCATACGCCCCTCTCCTACCGGTTCACTTAACGAATTAGAAGGGGGCGGAAAAATGCAGGCGGCCCATGGGCGGCAAGTAGGTAAATCCGGCCCTGGCAAACGCCTCCTTTTTTCTCTCTATGAGTTCTACCTATCGGTCAAAATATGATTTTTCCTCTCCTAAGTTTTTATCAAAAATACCCCTAGTCGGTATAACGTTGGGGGAGCTACAGCCCCCGCATTTTTGCACTTTTTATATGAATGTATCCGTGCAATCATTGTCCAAAAAAGTTCTGATTTTTACACGAGATCAGAAGAAAAGCCAATGAAATTTTCAGTTGGGGATGCCCAAAATTCTCCTGATAAAAATGCAATTTGTAAGGGGATATTATTTGGACTACATTTTGCAATCAGGAACTTTAAATTCTAGCCCGGTTTAAAAACAACGTATGTGCCATTAGTTTCCCTATGCATATAAGTGTTTTTCCAGAAGAGCCAGAATTTATAGTTCCAAATTGCAAAATGCAGTTCATTTGACCTGTAGTTACGTTCATTTGTAGAAGGAAACGACGGCTAGAATCAATAATTGGATTGCATTTTGCAATTTGGACCTATAAATTCTGGCTCATCTGAAAAAACACTTATAAGCATAGGGAAACTAATGGCACATACGTTGTTTTTACACCGGGCCAGAATTTATAGTTCCAAATTGCAAAATGCAGTCCAATTTACCAGAAGTGTCGATGAGATGTGTTGTAACGTAAATGGAGACGGAGATGGTAGCGAAAGTGACGATGATGAGCGACCAGACTCCGATGTCGAACTCGTTGATGTAGTTGGACCAGATGGAGGGGATGCGACCGGCTTTGTCGGGCACGACCCACGTGAAACACTCCTCCGTCACCGCCCGCGAGAACTCGGCATCCGCCGAATCGTAAATAATGTGCGAGTAAATACCTGAATCAAGTGAAAACTCAACCAGCTCCTTAGTATTCAACAGTTATCAATAATTATACTTCCTCATTCCACACGGAGAAAAAAACCTCGTGCGTTGGACCCGAAGTTTAGGTCATATGGATCTCTGAAGTTTTCGGATTGAGCATCTGAACACTTATTTAGGTCTGGCTGTCGAGGTTCGGATCACACATCTGAAACTTCAGTTTTTACATCTGAAGTACTTCAGATGTGAGAGCCGAAGTTGTGCGGATGTGAGAACCGAATTTTTTCGGATGTGAAATCCGAAGTACTTCAGATGTAAGAACTGAGGTTTCAGATGTGTGATCCGAACCTCGACAGCTAACCCCTAAAGTGTTCAGATGCTCAATCTGAAAACTTCAGAGATCCATATGACCTAAACTTCGGGTCCCACGCACGAGGTTTTTTTCTCCGTGCAGTGATTTAAATGGCACGGCACGTGCGGTTTGCTAAACCCCTCTGAGCAAGAATAACCAGGAGCGCTTTCATTTTCAACGCACGCAACATATCGACGGTGAAACCACCAGCGGGCCGATTATCGAAACTGATAGACAAAGCTATAGACAAAGACGATAAAAGGGATTTGGAGGGATCCTATTGGTGGAAGCAGGTGGTGGCAATGGACATAGGAGGTAGGTAATGGACTATCTAACGGCAACCCACTAAAGACCCTACAGTTAGTCCATAATTTTCTTCCTTAGTCTGTAAGAACCAACCATGTCAACCAATAAGGTCGCTCCATACTCCTTATGTCTTCTTTGTCTATCGGTTTGTCCATCAGTTTCAATAATCGCCCCGCAGACCACGTATCTCGTTTGCGGTGTTTATAAATCGCCGCTCCCATTTTTTTTTTTTTTTTTTTTTTTGTGGGGGAGAACAAGCCAATATCATCCCTTGAAGTTTTCACAGATTTTTCCTTACACTCAAAAAGAAAATCGCGGAAGTTTTCAAGAATAGACGTTCAGTTGTTTTCCATTTAAAACATAGAGTAGGTATGGCAGATAGTTTGCGGCGGCGCACACCGAGATACGTGGTCTGGTCGTTTCAACGTCGATATGCATTTATTGAGTAGGATTAGTTGGATCCAGGCGTTATTGGACGTATTTCTGCCAAACGGAACTATGTGCATTAAGGCATGAGCCATGAGACCCATGAGAATATATGCATAACAAGGCTCATTTCATAATGCTCATAGTTCCGTTTGGCTCAGAGTGCTGTGTAGAATTGCTATGAGGCAAGGGAAATCAGTAGCGCCTTCATTTCCAACACACGCAACGTATACAGCTGATAGGATGTACTCTACCAAAAGCGAAGTCAACCTCGAGCTTGTTGATGGCCTCGTCGAGGGCGTTCGGGATCCCGGTGGAAATGTCGTAACCGAAGCGGTCGATCTTGGTGTTGTTCGGCGGGATGGAGATGTTGGTCCGGAAGTTGAGTTTCTCCATCGCGATCTTCAGGAGCTTCCCGCCGGTGCCCTCCAACACCCACTCGCCTATCGTCGGGTCGGGGTAAACGATGGCTTCCGGTGGTCGCGTCTTCGCCAGGCCTTTCAGGGTGCACCCGTACATATTCTGCAAGAAGAACAGGGACATCTTCTTTGTAAGAGGTTCCTGGTTCCCCCATAGTCCAGTCAATCTATGCCGAAAAAGGGCTTCACCCAGAAAATTTTGCGAAAAACTTACCTTACTTGTTACCTTTGTGTTTTTTAGCGCTGAAATGCTGAATCCGAATCTGAGCTTTGTTACCTTCGATTTTTGCCGCTAAAGCCGCCATCTTGAAAAAAACGTTGCCAAATCTCATTTTTTCGTCCAAAAATCGTTGACATAACTCGTTCCTTACTCGTCAGAAGGCAAAATGAGTTATTTGCAAAATGAAAGCACGTACAATTGGTAATGTAGCATCGCGTCCATGATATTGGACTCCACGATCACCTATATTATGTTCGGTTGCTCATCACGTCCAAGATATTGGACTCCATGCTACTTTAATGAGGGATATTTTTTTAGAAAAATCGGAGTGAGCATAGCGCCCAAAATTGTTTGATGCAGGTATTCTCTGACAACACACGAGCATATGGTCATCAATGTGACATACCTGCTGAAAGAGTTACATAAATCCGTCTTTACTTACAAATCAAACACTTTATAAGTGTCGATGAAAATAAAATCATTATTTTTTACCCCGGTTTTTTTACGCAGAGGGTACAAGTCTGCACTCTCATCAAATGCCGTTTGGCGCCAAATGTCCAGCACGACAGGCTTGCCAACAGTGTAACAGTGAGACTCTGAGAATGGAAAAAATGTGTAGGCCGTGATCAACGACGTTGACTCGTCATCCTTCAGGACAACAACGCTCGTAATACGCTCAGCCCAAAAGATCGTAAAAACCTCCTGCAAAGTAAGAGAAAGAAATCATGCAAGTCGCGGTTGACCTGACTTACGAATTTCTCGCTTCAGGGGCTCACATGTTTTGTTTTATTGAATACTGTTCGCAAAAGGCATGAGCAGAAAAATTGAAATAAATAGTCACAACTTTGAATTTTTTGAATTGGGGAAGCCACAGATTTAAAGGGAAGTAACTTATTTTTTATTGACGTCGCATTCATCGCTTGCCAGAAGAAAGTGCGTGTGAGGGATAGCACGCGCATGGTGCGCCTGATTTACGATAGTTATGCAATGTGACGTGCACCGTAGGATGCTGTCAAACTACCGTCCTGAAGCTGAATTAGCTATATCATGGCTAGATGAATTAAATGCCTGGTTTGACAAATAAGGAATGTAAATGATAAATTAATTATTTCGAAAGGAACTTGTCGCAAGGTCAAATTATACTTAGTATGAAAATACTCGAGAGTAGCGGTTCCAGAGAAGCAAAAACTGTGTGATCAATGCACGTCATTTTGTGCATCACCGTAAATCGCGCTCACATAATGATCCAAAATGATTTTCCACTAATAAACTTGTTTAGATATTTTCAAACTAAAGAGCGAAAATCACGCGATTTAGCACATTATAAACGCTAACATCAAGTCAATATCGTGAAAGTTAAATTTTATGTGCATAGTTACATAATACTCTAGACACTCACCTGAATGAAGTCAAGTGAGAAATTAGACGAGGCATACACCAGAAACCTATTTTCGATGTTGTGTCGTAAATTTGATAAAGTTTTTCGATAATCGGATAGAAGCTGAGGATTATACGGGAGAAGAACATAGAAGCCAGCTTTTCCTACCGGAGTAAAAATCGTAATTTCTTTTTAAAAAATAGCACTTTTTCTTATTCTTTTCGAAGCAAATATTTGAAACAAACACAACATTTTATGAAGTACACAACCCAGTCTAGTAGAAGGACTTTAGCAAAAAACAATCTATTACTTGGGTTAGTTTAGAAACGACGACACAGCTGCTGTAAATGATTCCCTACGCAAACACGCGCTTTATATGTACGTCAGTGAACTCTGACTATTTTAAAGGCTCAATTTTTAAAGAGTGTATATTTTTTATTAGGTATCAATGAATTTATCCAATCCACGTTTAAACTGTTCGTTCAACTTTGCATTCTCTGCTGCAATTTCTGTTTATATTATGATATACTTTGGTGATAAAATTGAGCTCAGCGTGTTAACTTTTCTGCCCTAAAATGTTAATGTTAAATGTTTTAAGGGAAATTTAGCTCTCTGATCTGTAGAGTGTATTTTATTCTGAACACAAAGGAAGACAATGTCTCCATGTTGAATGATGATGATTAATTGAACATATTTATGCTAAAAGGAACCATGTGCATAGGGATTGCGGAAAAAACAGTTCCTCTCAGCATAAAGACGTTCAATTGTCAGAGCATCTTTTTTGGACCATTCAATTTTCCCAAATACGTCTAATTGACAGAGCATCTTTTTTGGACCATCCAATTTTTCCCCAGTGGAGTATATGCCATTTCGATTCTAATAAATTTAAAAAAAAAAAAAAAAAAAAAAAAAAAAAAAAAGGAGAAAAGCTTGTGATAAAAAAGGCTCTCACCTACTATTTTGACCTCTGGCGTCGGTTGAATCCAGACTACTGTACTTAAATTTTTCAAAATCTCAGTGGCTGTGGGCTCAAATTTTTGAATTTCATCACGAAAAAGTACCACTTGACGGTGCTCAACATAAAGGTTCAAAACATTCAGCAAACACGCGACTGTAGAATTTGAACTAAAGTTGTAAGTCGAAATTTCAAGCGATAGGTCCATCGCTGACACTCTCAGTAGAAATGTAGTAAATACTGCGTGAAATATCCTCATATTGTGCAGCTCCCTCCCCTCCTCCCAAATGTTTTTCCCCTTCTTTTTTTAAATAAAAATGTATGAGTAATTATCTTAAAAATTAATACACCTAGGTATATTTCTGCCCCATAATGCTGATCTTATAAAATGTTTAATTAAAAGTGATGAAACTAATGAGAAAATTATCCCGGTAATCTCTCGGTATATCTTGAAAAAGTTTGACGACTAACAGCGAATTTCACACACTTTTTTAGAGAATTGTTTCCTGAGAAACGCTTGCGCACAGTTTTAAGTTTTCGATTGGTCATATCTCTCGCAAAAGGGCGTTAAAAATTGACAAAACTTACATTCTTCTCACACGTTTGAATACCTTTTAATTGCAAAACAGTGGAATTTCAACACATCCTCTTTTTCATGAAAAAGCTTTCATGAATCTGACTAACGAAAGACACTGCGTGCTATGTAGAAAACGATAGTGACATTGACCTATCAGACGCAGGAGCAGTGTGCATGTTCATCGGTTCAACTCCTCTGAGTTTTGGTCGGTTTGCAAACACACCTCAAAGAGAATTAATCGAGAGGATTACACTCCAGGTCGTGTGCCCGCATGCAATCTTACTAAAATGCCCAATTTTCGGAGTGATTGAAGTCATCATACGGATTACCCCGACGCTCAAGCAACCAATTTGACATAAATAACTAATGCGACTGGCGGAGGGTATGTTATTCGATGCAATTTCGATTCTTTTGAAACCCACTGAATTGTGTCGCTAAGCGATTGAGCTATTCAAACTTCTTCACTACCCAAGTAGCATTTTTGAACGGAAAAATCGGAATATTTTGAAATGAAGTTACGATTTTTTGGCCATAAAATTGCTAGGATCATCAACATTTGAGCGTTTATCTTCAATCTTGTCGCAATTTTATCTCTATGAAATCGCGTTTGATAAAACCAAAATTTTATACCAATTCATCACGATATTTTGTTCTAAAATATTGTGATGATTCGTCGTCGATAAAATCGCGATTTTATCGCAAATTTATGCGATGAAATTGCAATTTATCGCGATTTTTTATCCGATAATATCACAATGAATTGACGTCGATGAAATTACATACACACATAAAATAAAATTACATTACATACATTCTCCAATCAAATCGCGACTTATCGAAATTGCTGCGACTTGGGTAGTGGCCAAAGTTATGACTGGTTGCAACTGATTGTGAGTTGCAACATCCCTGTAACACCTTATCAGCATAAAGGTAATATTTCACAGTCACTGTATTAGTCATTTTTGCGCTCAAAAATCCAATCGGATCCTCTGGTCCGAGGTACTGTAACAGCAGTTATGGCCCGGTGGGGGAACAAGAAGTAGAACAAGAGGCATGACAACTGGATCGAGTTCAACATGGTGGGATCGATCCGGTCACTTCAAGTTGGAACTGAAAAAAAAATATATTTGCATGTTTATCTTTTTGTATGACTCAATTGAACAAGTGTCGCCAAAGGGAATTTGTCCATTTCGATGTGAGCCTTGGGCTACTTAAAAAGTGCCAGCGTTCGGGGGCTAATCTTGAAATAGACAAGCCCTCTTTTAAAAATAACGCATTCAATTTACAGATAATGTTTACTCCCTGTCTTCTCGGCCTAAATAATTTCCTTCAATGGGACCGTGCACAGGTGAAAAAGTAGGTACGGGCACGGGGCGGGTGAGCTCAAAACCAGTTCTCACTCAGTTTTTTCCAAATTGCATTTTTATTCCTCTTACTTAATTTAACCCAATTTTTTTGCAGGTATGTGTGTTTGCGATCTCTCTGATTTTTTTAAAGGTCAAATTTGATATTCGAATGCAATGTTGAATTTTCAATATGAGGGAAGGTACTCAACCAATTCATTTTTATGTTACAGACGAGAATATTTGGAAATTGGAAGAAGGGATCCAGTGGACTATTGCAATATTGTCCGGAACACCTCTAAGGCCGAAGAGATAAAATCCCAAAAATCCTCGCTCAGCAAAAAAGCAGAGCAGGATTCTCAAAGTAGAAAAGTACCAGAAGAGGATTTTGAAGATGATGAAGAAGTTCCTCCTCTGGAATGATAAACAACTGCTCTCAACAACAAAACTTGGTTCCCGCTCCTGTTTCCTGAATCAGAAAAGAGCCAAATTAATTCAGAGAGAGGCTCCAAATACATAGTTGATTCCCTCCGAGATTTCCTTTCGGTGAAATCAATTGTTTGCCAATAAGTGTTTAGTTGATCAGCATGATTATTTTAGGTATCGAGGTTAAAATGTAAAAACGTAAATAAATCAAAGTATAATCACCAACTCTCTTGCTATTAAGTATAGCTTGTCATTCCGCCTTCAATTTTGAAAGTAGGCTACAAAACATCCTCCTCGCTCGATAGATATTATTGCTAAGATAGGGATCTATCGATTAAGTTTATTCAATAAGGATTTAACAATCGACCCGCTGTTAAGATTGATGCTAAAGCTCTCCTTTTATATTTAAAATAAAAGTGATCAGGTATTAATATGATAAAAATTACTCATCATCCTTAAATTGATTAATTTAGAGAATCAATTCTTCCCTAGCATATTTACTGAAAACGTCACTAGGCAAGGGGCAAGTCTACCTTTAAAAAATTAAAACTCAAGTAATTAATTCACTTTAAAAGTTATTTTATTAATTATGCACGGAGTCTGTATAAACCTTAATCCATGTGATACGTTCAATACAGTGGTGTAAGAACAATAAATAGATCTCGTGAGGTAGGTCTTTGGGTCTGACGTAATTCATAATATTTATAAGATGATCCTAGAGAGCAGTTGTCGCAATAATAGAGTGTCAATTAAAAATCTTGTCGATAGTTTTGCTCATTCATACTTTATTTATTTATATTGAGTCCCGCGTAAACAAACATAATTCCGGACATCCGAATGTATATTTTAATTTTGAGGCCAATATTTTTATCTTCCTCCGTAGACTTGGAACCGAAGCTCTTAGTGTTTTTCCACCCCCTAGGTATCAAGGATTGCAACTCGAGATCAAGTATCATTCAAGTTGTTAATCGCAGTACTTGAAAATTAAATTAGAGGAATTTTTTCAAACATTCCGTCGTCTACACGGATGATACATGCGCTTTTAGCCACGCGGATTGTCTAACTTTCAGTGGCGTAGCGTGCTAAACGATATATCGATTGATCTGCCATTTAAACCCACGGAAAAGAATCGATTAACAGGGTGTCCGCAACGAACACCTTAAAAATCGATTCTTCACCATAGCTTCAAATGGTGAAATATCCGTAATAGATAATCGACCATTCACGCCTCGCCACTGTCAACTTTGTGTTCATCCCGATGGATGATCAAATTTTAAAGTACTCGATGTGACCACTTGACTGATGTTATATAAAAAGAATTGAAATAACAATTCAGCGGAAATATTCCTGCTATTCCACCGCTGTCAAACTTGACACAATTGAAAAGCTTCAGAAAGTCAACCATATAATTGCATCGGGCCTTTTGAAAAAATCCGTTCAGCAAATCATTGGGAAAATGAATCGAATTTGCCGCCAAGAAGATTTTCTCTTGAATCAATAATTAAATTGTCTGAGGCTTGAATCAAGCAGGTTTCTGCTTAACGTAAGTGACTTAATTCTTGATATAAGCATCTTCTCTACTCGACTCGAGAGAAATATATTCTTGACGGCTACCTCTGTTTAAATCGAGTTACATTTTTCCAGTGATGAATTCGGATTGAATTTAGTCGTAAGAAGAGAATTCCTTTAAAAATTCCAGGAATGATGTCGCTTGGCTCTCCTTTGAACAAATATAATACGAGCGAGGAATTGAAACACCGCAAACGAGATACGAGTTTGCACTGATGAAAATATTTGTGTTCTTGTGTTACTCATGGTTGATATAGGAAGTGCAGCACGAACCAAGCCAAATTTTGTGATGATTTTAATACCATTTGCGTCAAATTTAAGCGCAGAAAACAATTGGGAAACTGGGAAACTTTGGGGTCAACCGAGAGCATGTGTTACTTTGTGTTTTATTTTTCGTATTAAGGGAAAAATATGGGCCCGCAACGACAGAGTGTGTCGATGTCACAACCAAACAGCTTTGTCTGGTATAGTCATGTTAACAGGATGATGTAGGAGAGTCTTTCGAAGGAAATATTTGATTGGGTTCCTCCTGGGAGGAGACGAGGGTGACTCCCAGTGAAAGGGTAGCGACAGGGAGTTTCAGAGGAAATGAGGGAATGCCAACTCCCTGAAGGGCTTTGGGAGGATAGGAGACTTTGGCGGTTGGGTCAGGGCCGAATTAAGGGGGTGGCTACATGGGCCGCGGCCCATGGCGGCAAATCTAAGGGGCGGCAAAAATTTGCAATTTTTGAAAGTGTAGGGATAAAAAGATTTCGGATTTATAAAAACAAAATTACAAACGAGAAAAGGCGACTAAGTCTCTCATTTCCTGAGAGTATGGTAATTTCTAATTTTGTCGTCTCTTATCGATAAAAGAGACAGCACCCTCAATAAGTCGAGTTACGAGAGAAACCAAACACGCAATTTGGCCTAGATCGGCGCGACTTAGAGAGAAATGATAACGAGGACTTGAGATGAAAAGGAGAAGCCCTCGGCGCGGCGATCGGTATGTAACACATATTAGCGCCTGCAAGACTGCACGAATACTTCACGCATTGCATCAAACACAGTGTAGTCATTGCGGTCAGCGTGAAACGGATAGCGCCTACAAGAATGCAGGAATACTTTACGCATTGCGCCAAACACAGTGCGGTCAGCGTGAAACGCATAGCGCCTACAAGACTGCGTGAATACTTCACGCATTGCGTCCAACACGGTGCGGTCTGCGCGGCGGCGCGGCGGCGGAAGTTAAAGTTATTAAACTACATTTATGTTTGTTCTTTCATAATTTTTTCGTTCATTTCTTATGAATGGAAGGCCTTGTCCACACAGAGATAGGTTTACGAAACTTAAGTTTCGAGCAAAGTTTCGCGAACTTTTGCTGGTAGCGTTGACAGGGGTTTCCCAAAAAATGTGTTCAGCGCGAGTAAATGTGTCTTATGCACCCCTCCCCCGCTGGCACGTTCATTTGATGGTTTTTATCGAGTTTCAAAACGAATGAGAAGGGGGCGGCAAAGTATAGGCGGCCCATGGGCGGCAAGTAGGCGAATCCGGCCCTGGGTTAGGTGTCACAGAGGGCCAAAGAGCGCATAATGAAAGGGCTTTTATGTATTATTTCCCGTATTTATCAAAATTTTGTAATAAGTTTCCTCTCTGCGTGAGAGTTTCACTTGGGGTTCGAAATGTAACATTGTAAACTGAAAAAGAAGATCGGTAGAATTTACCATTCCCTCACGCTGTATTTCACACAGCGTCAATCCAGCGTCAATTCTGCCCGTCAAAAAGTAAACGTTACTAAATACTGGTACAGGTAACCGTTCCTCTGGCAGAATCGACTTTGAATTCACGCTGTGTAAAATACAGCGTGAAGGAATGGTAAATTCTACCAATCTTCTTTTTCAGTGTAATACAAACTAAAATCTCAGGTTGAGATGAGATTTATCATAGAAATTTTAAGAGCCATATACGATTTTTTCACCCTTGTGGATAGGATGTCTCGGCAACAATGAGGCCTCACTAAAATAACAATTTAAAGTTTTGAATGTTATGTTCTGATTATATAATTTTCCCCCTCGTGCTGATTTCCCACCTACGTCCTTATTATTGTGACTGTCAAGGTGGCTACTCACTGACATCACAAACCCGTCAAATTAATTGGACTCTTCCTCTCGGGGAGGAAGATGATGGCGCTTGATTTGAAGTAATCGAACATGTCAGATAACAAAGGGCCCTCAAGATTTAGAGTCTACATTGTCAAGAGGAGATTAAGCTCTAATTTTTTCGGACAGTCCATTGTAGGTGTTATTAGGATATATCCCAACAGGTAAATTACACTGCCTCCAAGATCATTTTTGCGTCGTAAATTTAAGTAGCATAGAATCGAAATTGTCTGCCATACTCAGGACAGGGGACACGGTAATTAATCGAAAATCACATACACATTTTGGAAACGTCTCTTTAAAAATTGAACTACAATGAAAATGAACATTGCGGGAAGGGTTAATTATGAGCAAGTTACGTCTTCATCCTTTGATTTGTTATTTAAAAAAATAGTTTTTTTCTCCACCCTTAGATTCTAATTTTTTTTTTACTTTTTATTTCTGATTAAGCGATGCTCAATACTCGTATGCATGGCTAAGTAGAAATTTTGTTTTACTTTAATGACGCCTCAATAGGCATTAGCGCTTGAAAAAAAATTTCTGAACATTTAAATTCAGTATTTGTGGGAATTATTTTTTTACATCAAAATTTTAATTTTTTAATTCTTTTATCTTCTCAGCGTATAATTCTTGCTTGCTAATATTGAGAGAGCTTACCCACATGCAATACCTCTAGGTGATGCTGAATGAAATATTGCAACATTAAATTATTGGCACAATTTTTGATGTAAGTAAGTATTGCTAGGTAATTTTGACCAAAAAATGATCGTGACATTGTAAAATTGAATATCCGAGCAGAGGACGAGGCATCAAAACTATGTTTGCAAATTTTGACCCTGAATATTGATGTAAAATCCTCTTGCAATATTGCCCTTCGTCTCATAAATAATGTTTTTCCAATTTATAAAATTCTAAAATTGACCAATATCTCTTAGGCTATTTAGGTAGTATTGAAACAATTTCGCTTTGCAGGGCCTAGTCTACTTTCACTTGATCCTGAAATATAATATTTTTCACTTTTTAAAAAGTATTTGGAAACATGTGCCTTGCTGCTCGTAATAAAAGCAAAGTCATTCAAGTCAAAAAACCAGGTTTCCAACATTCATTCTACAGATATCTATGCAGGCACCCTTTTCTTAGTCAAGATGTTTGTAAAAGGTAAGCAGAGGTTTACATTTGAAAGCCACTATACGAATTATCTCGTTTATTTTATTTAATGTTTTAAAATAACCAGAAAGTTACTCCAGAATGAAGATTTTCACATTGTGCTGCCGTAAAGCTCTGCTAAGCTTTGCAATGACGTTCCTAATTTGTGGAAATACGGAGGCTAAGCAAAAGGAGTGGTGGGAAACGACAACAATATATCAAGTGTACCCAAGATCGTTTCAAGATTCTGATGGAGATGGAGTAGGTGATTTGAACGGTAAGTTACTCCAGCATTTAATGTTCTCGGTTTCAGTAAAAACGAAGCATTAGGACCAATATATCTTTGAAATATCGCGAACATCTCCAAAATTATATGGGGGAAAATGAGATTATATGAAAAGAAGAGATATCTCATCGGCGAATCTAAAATGTAGAAATACCAGAATCTCCTTGTTGCATGATACAACTATGTTAACTTCAATGCACACATGCAGAATCCACGTATTTTGAAGGCGTTGTTGAATCTGGTTGAGTGAACGGCAGAATAAGTTTTTTTTTTGTTCATGGAAAGCATTTGTTCAAAAGGATTCATTGCTCTTCGCAAGGTTGTGGTATACATAATGAAAAAGTATCTCTTCTGTTTTTATTTTTATCTTTATATTTTATTTTTTGTGTCTATATTCCTAATCAGGTATTTACGAGAAACTAGATTACATCAAAGACCTCGGAATGGAAATAATTTGGATTCAGCCTTTCTACAGATCGCCAATGGATGATTTGGGCTACGACGTGGCCAACTTCAATGAAATCGATCCTATGTTTGGCACAATGGAAGACTTTAAGCGCCTTGTTGCGGGCATCCACGATAGAGGTACGATAAACTGATAAATCTACACGAAAGCAGTCTTCTTCACATTTTAACCGTTGAAACAAATAAAAAAATTCTTGTCTATATCAGGCGTTTTGTAGAAAAAAACGTTTGCTATAGTTCAGAGGGAGAGAACATAAAGTTAGGTAGAGACAGGACGGAAAAGTATTCAGGGCCGGATTCACCTACTTGCCGCCCATGGGCCGCCTATATTTTGCCGCCTCCTGCTCATTCGTTTTGTAACACGATAAAAACCATCAAATCAACGTGTCAGCGGGGGAGGGATGCATAAGACGCATTTACTCGTGTTGAACACATTTTTTGGGAAAGTCCTGTCAACACTACTACTAGCAAAAGTTCACGGAACTTTGCGGGAAAGTTAAGTTCCGTAAACCTATCGCTGTGTGGACAAGGCCTTTCATTCATAAGAAATGAACGAAAAAATTCTGAAAGAACAAACATAAATGTGGATCAATGATTTTAACTTCCGCCGCCGCGCCGCGCAGACCGCACCGTGTTTGGCGCAACGCGTGAAGTATTCACGCAGTCTTGTAGGCGTTATGCGTTTCACGCTGATCGCACTGTGTTTGGCGCAATGCGTAAAGTATTCATGCATTCTTGTAGGCGCTATCCGTTTCACGCTGACCGCAATGACCGCACTGTATTTGATGCAATGCGTGAAGTATTCGTGCAGTCTTGTAGGCGCTGATATGTGTTACACGCCGATCGCCGCGCTGAGGGATTCTCCTTTTCATCTCAAGTCTTCGTTATCATTTCTCGCCAAGTCAAATTGCCCAATTGTTCAATTGTCAATTGTTCCAGGCCAAATTGCGTGTCTGGTCTCTCTCTTAACTCGACTTGTTGAAGGTGCTGTCTCCTGTATCACTAAGAGACAACAAAATTAGAAATTACTATACTCTCAGGAAATGAGAGATTTTGTCGCCTTTTCTCGTTTGTAATTTTGTTTTAATAAATCCGATTTTTTTATGCCTACACTTTAAAAAATTGCAAATTTTTGCTGCCCCTTAGATTTGCCGCCATAGGCCGTGGCCCTAGTGGCCACCCCTTTAATCCCGCCCTGAAAGTATTTATAAATTTGGGAGAGGTAAAGATTTGAACGAGCTAATTGCTGTGAACTTTACGTCTCGAAAGCCATCGTAGTTAAAAGATTGTAATTTCTCTGAAGATGAACTTCTTTCTATTTAATAAAAATATAATTTTGGATTGTATTATGTAAAACAAGCCTACATGTATGGTAAACATCCATCTTAGCCAAAATGAACCGTGTCTATTTACCGCTGAGTCCTATTTCTATATAGTCTTGCTCGACGCAGAAATTAGGCGTGTGACCCAGGTTCCAAACTCTTCTCTTGATCTCAAAGCTATCTGTAAGATAAGTACTTACGTTTTCTCTGAAATCATTCGGTTTCCATTGACCTCCCAATATGGGTTTCAAAAATGGTACACGCCAATGTTCTCCAGGGTTGATGATGCCAGAATTGACAGGTTATAACCGAGTGAATGAACGTAATCTGTATTTCCGTAACCTGTATTTCCTGGGTCCTGTAAGACCCACTCGGAACCCTCCGTCTCAAAAATAGAGCAGAATATGGTGCATATAGCCTCAGGTTTGATTCAGTACAAACCCATATTTATCTCGGTGCAATTTTATGCTCGGCACTATCCGATTTGCGATGAATATCGTTGAATCGGAGTTTCATAAACTGCATTGAATTTTTAACTATTCCGACTCCCTAATAGACTCTGTAATATTTCCACCTCACTATTCCATTTTTGGAGCTAGTCTACTGCAGGAAGATGTATCTAAAACATTTTGACTAGCTACCTTTTTATCTGTTAATAAAAGTATACTGGTAACTAATGATAGGTACTCAGTAAATTATAAGTGTTTCATAGTATTTCATCACAGAGTGGCGGGTAATCCCATTCTTGTTTTCAGCTTATCATGAGCTCAAGTGCTTGCTCTTAACTGAATATGTCCGTCAAAATAGTCTGAACAGACCAACATTGACCATGATGAGTGACTGTGACTGATGGTCTTCCTTTTATTTTATCTGTTCGAAGAAAAGAAGTGATTAGATATTGCTATTTAAGACTACTGTTATTTGACTAAATAGCAGTTTTTTTTTAAAAAAAAAGAAAAAGAGAGAGAATAATTAAAAGGATTAAGAGAATAATTAATAGGATGCTGTAATAATAAGAAAATGTCAGCTATTGAATGTTGCATCATACATACGCAGATATAAAACTTAAAGTGAACATTAATTACAGGTATGAAGGTAATGTTGGACATGACACCAAATCACGTGAGTGACCAACACGAGTGGTTCAACCTGTCCGTTAACAAAGTAGAGCCCTACAAAGACTACTTTATTTGGAGAGACTCAAAAGGAATAGATGAAAAAACGAAAAAGCAGATCCCACCTAATAACTGGGTAAGTTCTTTGCGGCTGCAATCAATGTATATTTAAATCTATTCAATTGTATCAGATTTAGTCATTATTTTTAATTTTTGAATAAAAAAGGAGTCCTCTATAGTTACATTAATTCCTCAGTTAAAGGGGAGACACACTGAGAGTAGTACAGGAATATCAATTCTTAAAGTCTGGCATCCCCGGAAATACTCTCATAACTGTGGCATGTATTTTAAGATCGGGAGGATCCTTACGTGAAATTCAAGTCCTTCATTATCCAATTTGTGGTAGACATAACATGTCTTAATAGAGAATTTGCAGGAGTCTGAAATTTGATGAATTTCGTGTTTAAGTGGAAACTACTGAGTGAACTGGAACACGTGGATACTCTTGGCTCATGAATTGAGGAATTATTGGAGAAGATAATTATGACACAATGATCTAATCTGTTAAAATAAATGTGTTTAAGTGGGAAATGCCGCCAGATGACGTCACTAGGCGGTGCATTTTCTCACTTTCAAATTTATTTTCATACTATTTCCCAAATTAGAAGAAAGTTATAAAAAATACTGTGAAATCAGCTCTTTGAGAACTTTCAGATGAAGCAATAAAAAATTAACATGCAAATTCTCCATTCCTAGAGGTTGCCAAATGCAGATCATTCCAGTGTTGCTAGTGCTTCAGATTTTAATATTCATGATTTATGTTTCGCAGCTGAGTGTTTTCGGTGGTTCAGGCTGGACATGGAACGAGAAAAGACAACAGTTCTACTTCAGACAGTTTTCAGCGAAGCAACCAGATTTAAATGTTAGAAATCCTAAAGTTCGACAGGCTCTAGACGTAAGGAGATGAATTATTTTCAAAACAATTATTAAATTAAGGTTCACCGCATCAGAACGTGACGGATGAACGTTGCGGGGATGTCATTCCAGTCAAATTTTATAGGGGAAAAATTTAATTGGAGGAGGCATTTGCTTTAGGGACTGACAAAAATAAAATAAAAATCTCTTAAACTCATCAAAATCGACCCAGAAACTGGTCAAGTTCAAAATTTAAAGGAATCAGCATCCTCTCGCCCTACCCTCAAATAAAACCCCTGGAATTGTGTGCTTGGACAAGGAATAACTTTTCAACTCATGATCAGCCGCATAGATCTGCGCGAACGCGCCCCTTCATACTCCTACGTATGCAACCAAAACGTTATCGAACACGAACCGTATCGACCACCATTTATTATCATCATTATAGTTATTGGAGGTTGGCGAAGAATAATACTTTCCTGCTACCTATATTCTTTCGATTGTTTCGTTGCTTATTAACTCTTTAGAGTCCAAAATTACATTATACTTGAATCAGATTTGATGTTTTCCGTTTTAAAAACATTCCAAAAATAGAATTTTAGGTAGAAACGCCTAAAATTAGGAGTTTTTTTTAGTTTTGCCAGGAGATCGTAAAAGCAATTGCAATACTGCACTTTGTCGTGCGATTTTTGAACAGCCGTGAGGATGAGCTTAAACTTTGATTGGGTATTGCATAGCATCAAGACGTCTTTTATGTTTGGGCCCATGAAAAAACCAGAAACTCCCGAGAACAATTTTTACTTTGGTAATTTTTTCTCGGGATTTTCTATTAACAAAAATAATTCTGAAAATTCTGAGCATTACATCAGGTTTACAAATTACTTTAGGTGAAAATCTGTTTCAGTGTCACATATTCTTGAAATGGCAGGATATTTTTGGAACACGCTTAAATCAAAATTAAGACCTCAACTATTAACTATATTATCTGAAAACATAGATAAAAAAAGGAGGTGTTTGCATTTCGGGCATCTTGGAATTTTTATGATGACGTAGGTCAGCACAGCGACTTTTATCATCGATTTTCTTGGAAATGGTGTAATTTATGGAAAAAGTCATTCTATAAAAAGTGCTTGAAATTATGTCATAAGTTGATTCAAGCAAAAAAATGGGACATTATGGTACATTATACTTCGAATTCCGGATTTCGCTGGCCAGGCTGTACCGACCTACGTCACAGGGTGAACAAACCGTAAGATGCGAACACCTCCTTTTTTTCTCTATGATCTGAATCTTGGTAATCACATAAAGTAGAAAAAGAAGGGCAAAGTGCAATAACCTCAGTATCGATAAAACTCGTTTGAGAGGTCCTTTTGACAGACTAGGGTTAAGAGCTCTTTTGCAAGACTTCATCACACTTTGTAATGTAGGACGTTTTCGTATACTGGATGGACCTCGGCGTGGACGGTTTTCGAGTTGACGCCATCAGGCATTTAATTGAATCCGACAATTTCATGGACGAACCATATGTATCCAAAGAGCTCGAGGGGTCCATATTATACGATTCCATGGAACACATATACACTCGAGATCAAGAGGATACGTACACCGTGGTACATGAGTGGCGACAACTAATGGACGAATATTCACAGAGGGACAACAAAACCAGGTGGGTAACTAAGCAATGTTTTTTTTTTAGAAAAAAAGTAATCAAATAATATTAATAAAACCTAATTGAGATTATTTTGAATAAGGCTGTATTAGACGCCGGCTGGAAAATTGACAATTTCGTGGTAAAAATCAGTGATATTTGACTTCATCGGTATGATAAGCAGCACTGGAATTGAGTCAAAGTAAAAGAGAAATGAGCAAAGAGACCTGCACCCCTGCAGCCAGTGCCGCGTATGGCGAACATTAAACGAATTTCATCGGAACGCCTGGATGCAACTATTCGAGCTTCATGGATGTCCGTGTTGCATACGTAAGGAATTGAAGGCGTTCTGTGTTTGATACGTGCTCTGGAAATTATGCTCAGCACATCGCAACGTCAAAATTGAAGCACAAAAGATCCGCACATCCTACATGTGTTTGAAACTATTGGGGTATATATAATCGATGTCTTCGTAGCACAAGCGAATAATTGAAAGCGCGAAAAACGCCTTCTTTTCCGTGGATATGCAACACGGACATCCATGGAGCCCGAAGAGTTGCATCCAGGCTTTCTAATAAAATTTTTTGGTGCTCGTTGCATGCCATACTAGCTGAGATCACTTTGTTTGTTTCCTTTACACCGCCTACCTTTATTCCAGCGTTGCTTAAGGTATCGTTCAAGAAACCTAATACTGTCTTTTTCGCGATGTTTTCCGAAAAATGCATTGATCGTTTAAACGCACTACAAAATTGTCGGTCCTCGAAATCTTAAGATATTTAAGTGACTGAGCATGATTTGCATAGCTTAATTTAACCTCTTTAATTAATCGACCTTTCTTTGGATTTTTTCTTCTTTTGGACAAATATTTTGACGTTTCTGGAAACTAATGCCACATGAGTTGTTTTTAAAATGAGTCAGAAATGATGGCTCTTTATTGTAAAATGTGGGCCAGTTACCAAAAACCTCACTCCAGCCACAGAAAGTTCAAAATTATGAAAGAAGTAAAAAGAGCAAAAATTAATTAAATATGCGCTGCATTTTGTTTGGTTCTCATCCAGGATAATGGTGACTGAGGCATATTGTGACGAGCCTGAATTGGTGAAATATTTCGGGAACGACACCTACAAAAAGACCCACTTCCCATTTTATTTCGGATTCGTCAAACTGACCCGCAGTTCTTCAGCTAAGGAACTCGACCAAAAGACCCATGCAATGATCGACCTCATGCCGCCTAAGATTGGGGTAGCTAACTGGGTGGTAAGACAACAACCTTAATGAACAATTCCTCGGAGAAGGTGTCACCCTTTTAACGGAGAAAAATGTATCACAGTGTTTACTGTGCTCGTGTCTAGTTCCAGCTCGCAACTAAACTTCGTGTAAAGTTACATGTTGAATATCTACAAACGAACCTAGTATTTTTATGTTTCCGCACAACAATATGAGTAAACGAGATAAGCGTCTTGAAGTCTTAAGACGTGGAACAAGGAGGATAGGTATTTCGTAGTATATCTCGTGAAATGAAGGCACAGGACAGATTATTAACTTCAGCAATTTACAAAGAAATCTGCATCGCAGTTGTTTTAATCCTGTGGAAAGTCGGACGCTCATTTGGACGTATTTCTGCCAAACGGATAACTATAGACGAGTGGGGAAGATGGAGTGCGCTGTAGAAAACTACACGGAAAAAAATTAAATGTTGATTTAGCATTTATACTGTTGAAAAGATGTCCGACAAGTTTCAAATGCTGATTTTACAATACAAAAATGCTAACATAACATTTTAATTTGTACGTTTTGCAGTGGGCGCAGTTACGTTAGCATTTGTTAAAATGTAGAATCAGCATTTGAAACTTGTCGGACATCTTTTTAACAGTATAAATGCTGAATCAACATTTAATTTCTTTCCGTGTGCATAAGAAACAATGTTGCAGTGGGCGTGATTCCCTTTAGGGAAATGGAAAAGCGGGATTTTACATTCTGTTAAACGAAACTATGTGCCCATTGCATACGACACTCATGAGCCATGGGCATAGGAAAAGAATGTTGTGGACAGGGCTCATGAGTTAGTGCTGACCAAGAGCAACAACGGAGGCAGCCTCGTTGCCGCTGACGTCACTGGCGCCTTCTTCCCATTCATTCTTACGGGCCTTCGACTAACGAGCACACTCCTTCTTTCCCACCTGTCTCTGATTCAGTTTGGCAGAAATACGTCCATTTACGAACATTCTTGGCCATCTTGGTTCGATACTGGAATCTGAAGATTGGCAGTGGCATTTTTTGTGCTAGAGGGTTGGCTGCCCTTTTGGGCCCTAAAAGCTTTATAATGGAGATGTTGCATGTGTGAGTAATTTGCAATTTGACTATTGATTCTTACGTAAAAGTTCGCCAGAAACACGATGGTGCCACTGGTTTTCTCCGAAATTAACTCCCAAGCTCAGAAAAAGCTCTCAAGTTCAGGCCAAAATGGAGGGGATATTCCACCCTACCCTGAGAGTCCACCTCTACATGAAGACAAACTCTCCATGCAAAGATAGGGAGCAAATACATTGACAGGGCTGCCACTTTATTTGGAGACTCTAAAACTGAAAACACGGCAACCCTGCTAATGTATTTGCTCCCTATCTTTGCATAAAGAGTTTGTCTTGATGTAGACGTGGACTCTCAGGATAGCATGGGATATCCCCTCCATTTTGGCTTCAAATTGAGAGCTTTTTTAAGCTCGGGAGTTGATTTCAGAGGAAACCAGTGGCACCATCGTGTTTCTCGCCAACTTTTACATAGGAATTAATAGTTAAATCGCAAATTCCTCACACATGCAACATCTCCATTCGACCTGTCTACACCATCCCCATGAAAGTACTACAGCTCGTGGTGATTTTTGTCATCAGCTGAGTAACCACGACAACTCACGTCTGGCGAGCCGGATGAGTTCGGCGATCGTGGACGCGATGAACATGTTCGAGCTGCTACTCCCGGGCGTGGCGAGCGTGTACTACGGCGACGAGATCGGCATGACCGACTCCATCGTGCGCCAGGACCAGAGCATAGACCCCCAGAACGCCGGCACCACCGACTTGTCCCTCAAACGGGACCCCGAGAGAGCACCCATGCAGTGGGATGACTCGAATAATGCAGGTAAAATGCACGGTTCCTATCGCGAGGCGAGTGAGTGTTATTCAAGGAACGTTATGATGTTGGACGTATTTTTGCCAAACGAAACGACGCGCATTATGACGTGAGCCCTGTTATGCATTTATTCTTATGGGTCTCAGGGCTCATATCTTAATGCACATAGTTCCGTTTAGCAGAAATCCGTCCATTTTTGACTCGGTCGTTTCACGGTCGTTTCTCGGGTTATTTCACTAACTTGCTTCCAAACCTTGGAAAGCGGGACCGCGATCAGGGTGGCAAAATTTTATGAAAAATACAATTTCTCGTGAAATATTTCATGAAATTTCAGGAATTTAAGAAAGATATTGAAAAAAACTGTTTCCTTGTCATGTTTTGCCAAATTGTAGAAATTGTGACTTTCTTCTGATGTCGTGTGTTTGAGTGCGGGTTGCATACTGTAGCCCCTGAAAAATATGAAATATTTCACAGTCTCGTGAAATTTCATGAAATATTTCATTGAAGTGTCCAATCTTTCATTTCTTTCTTACGTTTCATGCTATCTTGGCCGTGAAAGGAGCATGATACGGAATTAGGGAGTTCATTAGTTTATAATTTTAAGTAGTTTCCCTCAGAGATTTTAAGGGATTTTGCCGAATAATTTCTGGACATACTTATAACTGAATCTTCAGCTCATCGGACAAGCCATTAGTTTTGTCAAACCGCAAAAATGTCGATTTCTATCCCTCGACCGACGGACCGATGGCTCAATATTCGCCGAACCGAAAAGAGCCTATTGAACTTATCCGGCCATGTAACCTAGGTTTCCTCCTTGAGGTTTACTACCATTTGCGGTGTTTATACACGGAGAGAAAAAACCTCGTGATTGGGACCCGAAGTTTAGGTCATATGGATCTCTGAAGTTTTCGGATTGAGCATCTGAACACTTTAAGATTAGCTGTTGAGGTTCGGATCACACATCTGAAACTTCAGTTCTTACATCTGAAGTACTTCAGATGTGAGAACCGAAGTTTTTCGGATGTGAGAACCGAAGTTTTTCGGATAAGAAAACCGAGGTACTTCAGATGTAAGAACTGAAGTTTCAGATGTGTGATCCAAGCCTCAGCAGCTGGACCCTAAGTGTTCGGATGCTCAATCCGAAAATTTCTAAGATCCATATGACCTAAACTTCGGGTCCCACGCACGAGGTTTTTTTCTCCGTGTAGGGACTATCAGAGTGTTATGTTGTCACTTCGGTATTTTTTCCAGCTGCTGTTTTTTTTGTCTTTTAACAAAAAAAAAAAAAAAAAAAAAAAAAAAAAAAAAACTGGTTTTGGTAAGATTTCATTTACTGTGGCGAGGCGTGGATGATCGATTATAGATATATTTTCCCATTTTAAGCTGTTATCGATCCTTTCCCATAGGTTTAAATGGCAGATCAGTCGATATATCGCAAAGCACGCCAAGCCACTGTTCATTTCTTCCTCTTACTTATAGAGCGTTGCCCTCAATTTCAGGTTTCACAACGAACAAAACAGCGTGGCTTCCGCTGAGTCCAGATTACTACTATAGAAACGTTAAGAAACAATTGGCAGACCCTAACAGCCATTTGAACATATTCAAGAGGATCATGGGCCTGAGACAATCAGCGGTAATCCAAAACGGCCTACTTGAAACGTGCGTGCTTAGCGACTGGGTTTATATGTACACGAGGTGAGAGTTCCATCTCCGCTACGTGAAAACTTGTGTTCTTGTGTACTGGACCACTTTCAAACTGTATGCATTAAGTGCCTAAAACGTTGCGAGAAGTATTACCGCTGTATCACGAAAAAATCCTTAAGGTCATCTAAACATGAGCAATTTTATTTGATTTCACACCCGCATTATTCATCAATAATGTTGCCAACATCAACCGTAGTGAGTTTATGGCAATTTTATTGAGATAAGTTGCATTCATCGCGATTTTATGTTCCCATAATGTTGCGATACCCGAGAAGTAATGATCGCAATAGTGTGTAATTTTATCGAAAATAATGTATCACGATTTTATCGGCGTCAACACATCGCCATATCATCGAACAAAAAATCGTGATAAATTGAGATGAAATTTCGATTTTATCAAATGCGATTTTATTGAGATAAAACTGTGACAAGAGTGACTGTGTAGTGATCGCTTAAGTGTTGATGATACCATTTTATGTTGATGATTTTACTGCCCAAAAATTGGGGGAAAAATCGCAAGTTAATTTTAAAATATCGCGCTTTTTCTGTTAAAAGATTCTACTTGGATAATCTACCTGCATTTTCAGCAAATTGCGAACATAGCTACACCAACTTCTCGCCTCGAAAAATCTTGCCTCGGCAATAATGCTAACAAGAAAGTCAATAATTTATACATGATTTTACACTGCTTTTTAGAAAACTTGATGGCGAACCAACTGTAGGAGTAATCGTTAACTTGGGGTCTGAATCAGAGCCAGCATGCGCAAAGGACTGTGTTCAATACTTTTACTTACCGGATGTCATGCATGTCCACACGGGCAGCATTAACTCAGGCTACAAACCAGGGTAAGACAATGTTTAGAGAAAACCTCGTTCCACGGACTTCTAAGTAAAGAGTTTCAGTATCTTGTCCTATTAATTTTCATACGTTTCCGTAAAAAATTGTGAAGGAGAAACTGTCAGAATATAAATAAAATTAAGAACCTACACTGAAAAAAAAATCTTGGTATATTTACTAAGAAAAAGGTAAAATTACCAAGCATTCAGGGTTCTATTTGATCCCAGTTTTCTCTAGGTAAAATTACCATTTATGGAATTGTAATTTTACCGAAAAATCTCGGTAAAATCATTGAAATTTCTCGGTGATTTTACTGGACCTTGGTAAAAACGCCAATATTTCTTATCGACTGTGGTAGAATTACCGAGATAAAATGGCAAAGTTACCGGGAATTGATTACCAATAAAAGTGATATTCTTACCTGAAAAAAACAGTAAAAATACTGGTTTTTAGGTAAGCCTACCAGTCTGTCTTGATAAAATTACCAATAATTGGTAGGAAAAGTGAGATGGTAAAGGTACCATCGGACCTTGGTAAAAACGCCGATGATTTTTTTTCAGTGTATTCATTTTTAATTTGGAAGCTGGGCCATATATGACTGCAGACTGAAGTCGCGTCGAAAAAGGAAATTAGTCCAGTTTGGGTCAAGTTTTCACACACAAATAATACGGAAATAGTGTTCAGGGTTATCCCCTAAAATTGTGTTGCTACCCTAGTTTCTTGGATGATACGGACAATGTCAGTTAATAGTGCCGCAACTAAAGATGAGATAGTACCGCAACATTTGGGCTGGTAACCTAATAAATTGGGGTACTACCACAATTCATTGCGGGTGCTATCACAGTTAATTGGAAATTTCCATATCATCCAGCAATCGCACGCTCCCTTTCCTCTGTGAAATTTTTAAAAATACCTATCAAAACAGGTTGCTGGTCGGGGGTTCAAACTAAGTAAGACAGTCACGGATTGGAACACCCTGTATCCGCGCATTCCGCGTCCGACGGGGACGACTGCTGCCAACCGTGAAAAGTTGATACTGGGCTCCTCGGCAACGAGGATCCGTGGAAGAGCGGGATCACTTATAGGAACAGGCTGTATACACGCACTCTCCTTTTTTCGGGATGACTGCTGCCAACCGTGAAAATTGGGACTTCACCGAGTTCATAGTGGGCTCCTTGGCAACAAGGCTCCCTGGAAAATCGAGATCACCTTTAGGAACACTCTGTATCTACACACTCTCCTTTATTCCGAATGACCGCTGCCAACCGCGCAAATTGAGAATTCACTGAATTTGAATCCTGCCTCTCTTGGCGGCAAGCATCCAAGAATCTTCAAGATCAGTTTTCGGAACACGCTGTATCACCGCTTCCTCTCTCGATCAGTGCTGACCGAAGCAAACCGTGCAATTTGGCAATTCCCCAATCACAAACTGCCGCCCCCATTCGAACAGAGCATCGATGATCCGTGCAGGTCGGTTCTTTGGAACACCCTGTATCCGCGCTTTCCACCTCCGACGGGGACGACTGCTGCCAACCGTGAAAATTGAAAATTCACCAAGTTGATACTGGGCTCCTCGGTAACGAGGATCCATCGAAGAGCGGGATCACTTATAGGAACACGCTGTAAACACGCACTCTCCTTTTTTCGGGATGACTGCTGCCAACCATGAAAATTGGGACTTCCCCGAGTTCATAGTGGGCTCCTTGGCAACAAGGCTCCCTGGAAAATCGAGATCACCTTTAGGAACACTCTGTATCTACACACTCTCCTTTATTCCGAATGACCGCTGCCAACCGCGCAAATTGAGAATTCACTGAATTTGAATCCTGCCTCTCTTGGCGGCAAGCATCCAAGAATCTTCAAGATCAGTTTTCGGAACACGCTGTATCATCGCTTCCTCTCTCGATCAGTGCTGACCGATGCAAACCGTGCAATTTGGGAATCCCCCAATCACAAACTGCCGCCCCCATTCGAACAGAGCACCGATGATCCGTGCAGGTCGGTTCTTTGGAACACCCTGTATCCGCGCTTACCACCTCCGACGGGGACGACTGCTGCCAACCGTAAAAATTGAAAATTCACCAAGTTGATACCGGGCTCCTCGGTAACGAGGATCCGTGGAAGAGCGGGATCACTTATAGGAACACGCTGTATACACGCACTCTCCTTTTATCGGGATGACTGCTGCAAACCGTGAAAATTGGGACTTCACCGAGTTCATAGTGGGCTCCTTGGCAACAAGGCTCCCTGGAAAATCGAGATAACCTTTAGGAACACTCTGTATCTACACACTCTCCTTTATTCCGAATGACCGCTGCCAACCGCGCAAATTGAGAATTCACTGAATTTGAATCCTGCCTCTCTTGGCGGCAAGCATCCAAGAATCTTCAATTTCAGTTTTCGGAACAAGCTGTATCATCGCTTCCTCTCTCGATCAGTGCTGACCGATGCAAACCGTGCAATTTGGGAATCCCCCAATCACAAACTGCCGCCCCAATTCGAACAGAGCACCGATGATCCGTGCAGGTCGGTTCTTTGGAACACCCTGTATCCGCGCTTTCCACCTCCGACGGGGACGACTGCTGCCAACCGTGAAAATTGAAAATTCACCAAGTTGATACCGGGCTCCTCGGCAACGAGGATCCGTGGAAGAGCGAGATCACTTATAGGAACAGGCTGTATACACGCACACTCCTTTTTTCGGGATGACTGCTGCCAACCGTGAAAATTGGGACTTCACCGAGTTCATAGTGGGCTCCTTGGCAACAAGGCTCCCTGGAAAATCGAGATCACCTTTAGGAACACTCTGTATCTACACACTCTCTTTTATTCCGAATGACCGCTGCCAACCGCGCAAATTGAGAATTCAATAAATTTGAATCCTGCCTCTCTTGGCGGCAAGCATCCAAGAATCTTCAAGATCAGTTTTCGGAACACGCTGTATCATCGCTTCCTCTCTCGATCAGTGCTGACCGATGCAAACCGTGCAATTTGGGAATTCCCCAATCACAAACTGCCGCCCCCATTCGAACAGAGCATCGATGACCCGTGCAGGTCGGTTCTTTGGAACACCCTGTATCCGCGCTTTCCACCTCCGACGGGGACGACTGCTGCAAACCGTGAAAATTGAAAATTCACCAAGTTGATACTGGGCTCCTCGGTAACGAGGATCCATCGAAGAGCGGGACCACTTATAGGAACACGCTGTATACACGCACTCTCCTTTTTTCGGGATGACTGCTGCCAACCGTGAAAATTGGGACTTCACTGAGTTCTTAGTGGGCTCCTTGGCAACAAGGCTCCCTGGAAAATCGAGATAACCTTTAGGAACACTCTGTATCTACACACTCTCCTTTATTCCGAATGACCGCTGCCAACCGCGCAAATTGAGAATTCACTGAATTTGAATCCTGCCTCTCTTGGCGGCAAGCATCCAAGAATCTTCAAGATCAGTTTTCGGAACACGCTGTATCATCGCTTCCTCTCTCGATCAGTGCTGACCGATGCAAACCGTGCAATTTGGGAATTCCCCAATCACAAACTGCCGCCCCCATTCGAACAGAGCATCGATGATCCGTGCAGGTCGGTTCTTTGAACCACCCTGTATCCGCGCTTTCCACCTCCCACGGGGACGACTGCTGCCAACCGTGAAACTTGAAAATTCACCAAGTTGATACTGGGCTCTTCGGCAACGAGGATCCGTGGAAGAGCGGGATCACTTATAGGAACACGCTGTATACACGCACTGTCCTTTTTTCGGGATGACTTCTGCCAACCGTGAAAATTGGGACTTCACCGAGTTCATAGTGGGCTCCTTGGCAACAAGGCTCCCTGGAAAATCGAGATCACCTTTACGAACACTCTGTATCTACACACTCTCCTTTATTCCGAATGACCGCTGCCAACCGCGCAAATTGAGAATTCACTGAATTTGAATCCTGCCTCTCTTGGCGGCAAGCATCCAAGAATCTTCAAGATCAGTTTTCGGAACACGCTGTATCATCGCTTCCTCTCTCGATCAGTGCTGACCGATGCAAACCGTGCAATTTGGGAATTCCCCAATCACAAACTGCCGCCCCCATTCGAACAGAGCACCGATGATCCGTGCAGGTCGGTTCTTTGGAACACCCTGTATCCGCGCTTTCCACCTCCGACTGGGACGACTGCTGCCAACCGTGAAAATTGAAAATTCACCAAGTTGATACCGGGCTCCTCGGCAACGAGGATCCGTGGAAGAGCGGGATCACTTATAGGAACATGCTGTATACACGCACTCTCCTTTTTTCGGGATGACTTCTGCCAACCGTGAAAATTGGGACTTCACCGAGTTCATAGTGGGCTCCTTGGCAACAAGGCTCCCTGGAAAATCGAGATAACCTTTACGAACACTCTGTATCTACACACTCTCCTTTATTCCGAATGACCGCTGCGAACCGCGCAAATTGAGAATTCACTGAATTTGAATCCTGCCTCTCTTGGCGGCAAGCATCCAAGAATCTTCAAGATCAGTTTTCGGAACACGCTGTATAATCGCTTCCCTCTCGATCAGTGCTGACCGATGCATACCGTGCAATTTGGGAATTCCCCAATCACAAACTGCCGCCCCCATTCGAACAGAGCATCGATGATCCATGCAGGTCGGTTCTTTGGAACACCCTGTATCCGCGCTTTCCTCCTCCGACGGGGACAACTGCTGTCAATCGTGAAACTTGAAGATTCACCAAGTTGATAC